GTAATTATTAGCGTATCAAGTGGGGGCGTTATTAACTTATAAAGATGTGCTCAATGCTGAGGACATTGTTTCTGAATCGAAGCGCCTCGAAAGAAACTTATATATTAAGTGGGTATAATTCGTATCAACAGCTAGCTTGTCGTTTAGTTTCAAATCTGGTCTAGGGAGAATCCGGGTATGATTTAGCGACAAAGTCGCAGCCAGAGTGCGCAGTTTGAAGGATATATTATGCAGGCGGCAAATTAATCTCGGTAACAATTTTTGAATCATTAAATATTTTTATTCTTTATAAATGTGCATAATTTTATATTCTTGCAAAATCTGAATGTTGCTTCCAAGCCAGAATCAGAAATTTCAGCCCATAATATTCGAATCTTTTGCAATTGTAGTTTTGTCTCAGTCAGCTGTGTGAAACTTTTTTTGTTCACAATCACGCCAAAGGCACATTAAAAAGCAAATATAGTTTAGCTGCCGCTTAGTGTAGTACCTTTCTATCCGTTATTTATCGTAAATTCTTTGTTGTCCAGTAAGTGCTTGAGTCAGTTAGGATGTTTTCTCAAACTTTTTTTATACTTACGGTGCTTTTCGCGGTATTGTCGCGCCAAGCACAGCAGAACATGAAGTTACGAACAAATTTATTGCATACCAAATAAACAAATAGGCTACATGATGTTTTTTGATGATTTTTCTGTTGCTAAAAAAATGACGATTAGAAATGTCTTTTATATATTTTATATTAATTTATATATTTTCAACGTAACTTGCCGTTGTGCCGTCTTACAATCAAATAAAAGTATTACTACTTTAAAAATATGCATACATAAAGCCGCCTAATATTATTTTTAAAATATCGTCGTTAGCAAAATCTAATGGTCGGCGATAAAATCCTATGAGTACAATTTATTACGATAAAGTACAATCAATACTACTCTGAAAGCTGCACGATTATTTTTAGGTTTGATTGTTTATTCTGTGATCTTATGAATTTGACAAGCCGTCTCCCGGCCTATCGTTGTCAAGCGTTTTTATTTTGAAAAATTTTACTTCTGCCTTGGACCAACGTTGTCATGCATAATCCTACGCGCACAAACGGTGTTACCAAAGTTTTAGGTCGACTTACTACCGTACCGGTTCGTAAGATTTGTTGTGTCCAAGTTCAATATTTTATTATGTATTTTACCGTACTTCTCCGCAGACCAAATACGGTACCGACATTGTATCGTACTCTAGTAGTAAACGTTGGGTACCATGGCTGTGCAATAGGGTAGGTATGGTATCCAGTACCGTATTCTTAAGTGCAAAATTAATAGATACCCGCACGGTATGCGTATGGCAGCCCTAGGTCTATATATGGCATTTTTGGTGCAAGCAGCGGTCTTATTTCAGCCATATGACAAGCCGGCGGCGGGACCATTGGAATTATTGGCTAATTGTATCTTCATCTTTGCAGTTCTTAGGTACCAGTATAACACGGTGTAGCACTACTCTCATTAATTACCGGCTACCGCACAATAGAGTCTAATAAAATTAGGCCAGGGGTGGGTAACCCCTGGCACGCGTGCCAAACTTAAGTCTCGTCATAGTAGCCTAAAAGATGAAACTAGTAGTTCGTGTATTTCTTTGAAAGTTACAAAATATAAACCCAATGTAAAATCTCTATCAGCGATAATGCAGCAGCAGAAGTCTCACTGATATGGAATAAGAAAAGTATAGTAATCAAATCTATTTGTCGAACTGATAACTGCTGTGATTGCATCCAACTGATGAGGCCTCCGCACTCTTTCCCGCTTGCTCCACTAGGCCTATACCTGTAATAATAATAATACTTTTTTTTTTCAATTTTTCATGTCCTCATTCATCTTATTGCATTTTTGCCAATGATTTGAATTATGTAAAGTGTGCCATGCTAATTGCATGATCTGTATTCGTTCGTAATCTGCACAATATAGTAAACTACTTTTCTTATGTTTGAGATGGTTCATGAAGCTTTGTACGAATTGAACCACATTGAAATTCTAAGCTCCCCTGCTCAAGATCTTGGTCTAATAGCAAACTTTGTGACTTGTTTTCTCTTGCAGGCAGTAAAGCCTAAACTGCTTATTTGATTGTCATTATACTTAGGGCTGGGCAAATTATTCGAATGGCATTTTACTATTCGAATATCGGGTACCACGTGATCTGCGTCGCTTCACTTGGACACAAAACGTCTGTGAACCGATCGTGAATTGCGCGAGAATTCACCTACAAGCTCGCTAACAGACAAAAGCGACAAATTTGGAAAATCGTCTTTGCGTTGTGGTGTTATTTGTTTTCTTTCCGTTTCGATCCAATTCCCTATGTTGCACAAAGAGGTACCGACACCGTTCCCTAAATTTAGAAACGTTAAATCAGATGAGGTATTTAAAATAAATATTCCAGATTTTTAAACTCCGTATGATTGACGGCACGTGATTAGCCGTTTCATGCATGAACCAAACATAAATTTGTTTAACGAAAATTAAAAGTTGAATTAACTTTTGCGTGAAACCATACAAAGTATAACACGAACAAGCTATGACCAGAAAAGAAATGGCAGGACATAGTTCTTTTAATGTACTTTCAAATAATTCTTTAGTGATCCCTTTCATTCTTGACCAAATAATGTTTCGAAAGTGTAAACATTTCACTCGGGCATGCATGGCTGGTAGAGTGTAGAAATCGTGAACAGGAGTATGGCGTAAAATCAATCGTGAATTTCGATGTAACAACGCGCACTCTCTCGTTTACGAATTCTTGTATCGTCGGAAATGATTACATTCGTTATATTTTGAGCATTTTTGCGCTAATAAATAGGGCGTGACATTATCAAAATTGTCAAGAGAAGTTAAAGTGAATTCGCAAATTCCGTAAATAAAATTGTGAATTACTCGGTAACGATATTAGCTATAATGATCGCGCGGTTTGTTGAAAGAAAACGTCGGAACTTGGAAGAGTTAGTTATAATTAGCGCCTGGCCATCTAATAGGCACAAAAGTACAAAAGCGCAATTTTTTTCAGCATTAGGTCGCATATGTAAATTATTATTCAAGAAGCGCTGTTTATTTACGTCATCTCGTCATATGGCCACGCAGAAATGCCTTTATTGCCGAATTATTCAGTCACTATTTTAAATCAACATTCGGGATTGACGCAATCGCAGCTCTGCGAGGTTTATCTGTAGAGTAACATAGACACCATAGAAAAGCATAGCAAAGTTGATTACGGTATTGTCTTAAAAATATCTGCATCCCGGTATCGATAATAATATCACTGTTCGCTTAATATTGTGACGGTAAATTTACAAACGTTGATAAGTAATATGAAAGCCGACGCAAATGATAAGAATTAGTATATTATTAATTTGGGTTTTTACGTCAATCCTTAATAGTTTTAACAGCTGTTGCCGACGTGAACGCACGGATAAACCCGAAATATAAACGTCGATGTCCGCCGACCCGAAAGAATTAATACTTGCAAATAACAGAAAGGGCGGTATTATAGATTATATATCACCGCAAAAACGGTCACGGTGACAAAAACAATCAGCGATTATGACGAAATTAACCAGTAAAAAAACGCTTTGTAGCCGATTTATCAATGTCTTTATTAATTTCCAAAGGAAGTATCTACCGACGTTGTAGACCTTCTGTTGTGTATGAAAAAATATTCGTTATTCGACTATTCAGTATTCGTTAAAAATATTCGAACTATTCGATTCGAAAAAAATATTCGATTTTGCCCACCCCTAATTACACTTCTATTAAACATTGTGAAAGTATTACCTGATAAATCATATTTTTTATGTACTTTTAAACTTTGCTTCATTGGTTCACTCAACTATTAGACTACTTGACTCTGCTTAGTTTAGCTTCTCATGTCTTGTAGTCTATCTAGTTACCCAATGTCTTTTGATATCAGGTTACATTCGTTTCGAATGACTGTTCTGGAACATCTTTCGTATTTTGACATTTCGTGTCTTCCCTGATTTTATATTTCCTGTAACGTTATGTGAAGCATTGACTCCAGCTCCCAATCACTCGATCCCATTAACAAGTACCTCCTTTCTAGCGTAAAGGTATGGTTTATTCGTTTGGTGATCCTGTTGTCGCCCTCAGCAAACCATGGGTTCAACTGTAACCAAGCGCCATCAGAATTTGACATTTTTTGCCCATTGTTAGCTAATGTGCATCACAATGGTATTGTTGTGACACAATTCACTAACGCCATCTCCATGGCTACCGAATTGGTGGTGTTCGGAGTCGTCTTTTCTTTTGTTGAAGCCTAAGTGACTATTATAGTCACTTTGGTTGAAGCGAGCGACTGCTGGTTACAGCAGATCGTCTCGAGATATTTTATGTATTTTTTTCTCAATTTATTTAAACTTAGTTCGACTTTTTCTTCTTTATATTATGGTGTTAGACTTATTTTATAGGTGCCGCTGCTCGATAGCCAGTATTGGTTTCTCGCGTCTCCTTCGCCCAGAAATATGGCCTATTTATAATTTAATTTATTGCAATTTGTATGTTTGTGTCTATTTTAAGTATGGTGAGAATTAAACTACTGATTACTGATATTTTCCAGAATAGTGAATCTGTCTGTATATATGTTTAAAAGGTTTATCATTGTGTGTCTTTGCTTCGAAAAGAGCAAAAAATTGTTTTCGTTTTGGTCGGCACGCGGAAGAATTTTGTCGTTAAATTTTGTCGATTTTGGCACTCGAGCTAAAAAAGATTGCCCACCCCTGAATTAGGCCTTTGGCTTCCTCTATCATCAAGTCCATGCGTTTGAAAACAAATAATTGGTTAACTAATATCAAACCCGATATGTTCTGATAAACGGATGAGGAGTTCCCCATGTGATTGAGCTCCCTTATAATATAGGCTTTCCCTCGTGATAAATATATAAATCCTACTGGTACTATATGGACTATGCGTATTGAGATTGTTTGATTTCTAATTACGTCATTTCCCTTTTCAGTGAACTTACTAAAAATTGAATATATATATGGTATAAAAACAGAAAAAATGTCGGACGTTGGTTGCATTTCACTAGCTGACGTGATCGATGGGCAATTACGATTTAATCATGATAATTTAGCAACATTTTTTGATTTGGAAATGTTCAAAGACAAGCCGATTTGTATCGTTTCAATCGCAGGAGCAATGAAGACGGGGAAATCTTTCATGTTGACTTATTTCCAACGATATATAAATTCGAGAGGGGTGAGTTCATTTTGTTTACGTGTGTCTGACCATCGTCACACTTTAACATCCTACAACGGTATTATAACGGTCTTACTACTTACTGAATGGAGCGCGAAACAGCGCAGAAAAGAGGGAAACAGCGCAGAAGAGAGGGAAAATTTTCCTTTCATTATTTATTAGCGTCCGTGAAATTTTAAACAATTTTATGGGAAACGGTATACAATAGTAGGGAATGATCACGAGTTTATATCAGTAATCTTCAACATCTTTAAATAACCTAACATGACGCATATTAAGCAAAATCAAAAAAAATTTGGAGCTCCAGAAGTATGTGCACCAAGATTCCGCACAACCTGAACACAGTATGTGGTCCCGCATACAACTCAATTTTTATTCCTAAAAAAAACAATGACGGGAGAAGGTTACGGTGTAGCAAATTTTTTTTTTTATTTGTTGACCAAGTAATTCCCCAGGCGATTCCTACGAATTAACTTTTTATTAGATAGCGGAAAAACATGGCTTAAATCAGGGGTGTGCAAAGTGCGGCCCGCGGGCCAAATGCGGCCCACTAGGACAAATTGTGCGGCCCGCGGAGAAGTGCCAATTTTGAATGGTGTGCGGCATACTAAATTAATTTTTAATTTAGTTTGATCTGGTTCCCTTTGCGTTGCGAAGCTTATATTCGGGTCCAATTTATTATCTATGCCTATGACGTTACAACGTCCTCACAGTGAAGCGAACAACGCGATTCACAAGGAAGCTCTCCCTTGCCGAGCAGCGAACAATTGAAAGAAAAATGCGGAGCAGACGCTAATGAATTTGTAAGAACGGGCAATTGTAGATTAGGCAACTGGAAAGCAGTTTGAAAAAATGTAATATTAAGAGATACAAAAGCTAAATGAGTATTGGTTCTAGCCTATCTGTTGATTTTGTTAAAATCTAATCTAGAATAATATTTGACAGCAAAGTATTTGGAATGAATCTTGGCGTATTATACCAAGAACATCTCAACTAAGATAACTTTCCTCATTTGAAAAAAGTTATGGCTTCAAATATGGCAATTTTCGGTTACATATCTTTTATTTAAATGGGCGTCATATCAAATTGCTAGCACTTCCATTTAAGCAAATTTGGATAAAAGTAGTCAGGAAAAGAATCCAGCAGCAAATTTCTCACCGAATTCGTTTAAATTGGGTGTGACATTATATTTGGATTACAGTTTTAAGATATTTATGCGTTTTCTGCAAGGACCCCTTATGATGACAACATGAGATCAATAACAAAAAGAAGCTATTTTGTGCCTGCAACTAATATAAAGCCTATGTTAAACGAAGGTGCGGCCCGCGGTTTTGCCCAGTTATTGATATTTGGCCCGCCTGCGAAAAAGGTTGCACACCCCTGGCTTAAATAATCGAAGCATCTACATCTCAGATTTCAATTTTTTTGACTCTACAGATTTATCGTTATGACAATTTTTTTTGTTTCGCACATGAAGCATTGGAGCAACACGCGTCAGCGAAGATTTCTGAATCTTCCGTACAAATTTGCTTATCTAATGAATGATGAAACAGACATCTGAAAAAATAAATCAATAAGGGAACATGTGATCATTGTTTGATATTTTATTTTTGACCCCTGAGTCTTAATATTCACTCTATACAGTGGGAAAACCAAAGCTGGATTGACGATGATCAGAAATTTGCAACTGATGGATTCCACTGGAGATGTGGTATAGAACCAGACACCCAAGGAATCAATGTTTGGGGCACACCCTACTTGGTAAAAAGATCAGACGGCAAAGAGGTGAGTTGTTTTCGTAACATATGTCACACCAGTGGGGGTTAGGAATGACATACGCAAAATAATTGGCCACGCCAACTAGAAGTATTTACATCGTTTAGTGAACTAGTCTCGGCATCCCAGCATTATGATGCTGGCTCGGCGGTGTGGCGCATTGTGCTAATCGTTAGGAAGACGCTCGCCACCGCATGTCTGATAACCCTTCGTTGGCAGGTTCGAATTTCATGCGGGGTTGATTATGCGCGAAAGGATTGCTGATACCTCGCCGCCGTAGGGTGATTCACGTAAACGTTGGTCGGTTACGCTCCCTCCACCGTCGAGTCCATGTATCTGAAAAATGTCTGACTAATCTCATACCCGACGTGGACTGACTGGTAACCAGACAAGAGGCCGTGGTTCGCCATATAATTAAGCCGTCTTATCGACTTTCCTCTCCCCGGGATAAATATGCAAATCCTATCCAAGACAATTAACTCACTGAAAAACCTTAGGTTTAGTAGATGGGATATAATGGCCGCTGTTGGCAGTCATTGAGGCACGGCTTATCATCAACGTTCCCTCTAAGCTGCGCTGCGCGCAGCTTGCCGAGAATTCCCACGCAGTACTTTCGTTCTGCCGCGCACTGCATAAGTATTGACAAATTCTGTGTCAATGTTCTTTTCCATTTTTTCTAATTTTCCGCGCAGACATTTTTCTCGGAGCTTACATGGCCTTCTATTCCGCGCAAATAAGCAAGCTCTTAGCGGGAACATCGCTTATCATGTTGAAGAAGTATACATGCAGATATCTCACCCTCCATACACTTTTTGTTCGGGTGAAAACAAAAATAAAGGAGCAGGCAGGAACCTTAACCATTTCTTGGTGGCTCGTGCATATTATCGATACGAAGCTGCATAACCGTTTCTACACTAAAATTAACCATTGTTGTTTATCTATGTTGTGCAGGTTGCTGTGGTGCTAATGGACACCCAAGGACTATTTGACCTCTATACAACTAAGGAGGATAATGTCAAGCTCTTTACTTTGAGCGTCCTTGCAAGTTCTATTCAGATTTTGAATATAAAGGATTTAATTCTTAAGACAGATTTGGAGAACCTTCATGTAAGTTATAGTATTGGGTATCACAGGAAAGGCAATAAGGTTAGTGGCTTATCATCAACATGAAATGCGAGTTCCAGATGGTGTACATTTAGTGGTCTTACTACTTAGTGAATAGAGCGCTTTAAATAACCTAACATGACGCAATATGAGCACACCAACATGCAAAATCAAATAAATTTTGGAGCTCCAGAAGTATGTGAACCAAGATGGCGGACATCCTGAACACAGTATGTGTACCAGGTTAGGGTGCGTCATGTTGGGTTATTCAAAGATGTTGAAGATTACTGATATAAACTCGTGATCAATCCCTGCCACTGTATACTCTTTCCCAGCAAACTGTTTAAAATTTCACGGACGCTAATAAATAATGAAAGAAAAATGTTTCCCTCTCTTCTGCGCTGTTTTGCGCTATATTCAGTAAGTAGTAAAACCCTACATTTAGTACTTGGTTGTTATAAAATTCGACATTTCTTCCGTGTCTAACACTTATTTCATATCATTTCAAACTTATCAAAGCTTACCTCAGCATAAACCGAGTAATCCGGCAAGCAGGTGGGCAGGGTTAACTTTTGACCGAGTCATAATTGACATTGCTCTTTAAAATTTTATGATAATAATGATGAATTTTCCGATGTTACCAAGTTGGTGATTTATACTGATTATATTTATTACAGTTCTGTGTGGAGTTTGCAAAAATTGCTTCGAGCAAAAAGAGCACTGAACGTATACAGGTATTATTTATCTTCAATACTTGTTTTCATTTGTGCTGATGCAAATTTGGTAACACATTTAAACAAATATTTATAATTAGTCTTTTTGCTGATGGGCTTGTTATTGGACACGTTTAGTGGACATAACGATCGTTTCAAAATTTTGTTGTTATTGTTATTTGTCTCCATCATTTTTAAAAAATCGCTTTTCTCTTCGAATACTGGACCAATTGCTTTGAAATTTCAGTGGTTAAAGATAAAATTTTTCTCCAGAAGGCTATTACTTTTTTTTTTCGCTATGACGTCATCAAAATTATTGCCATTGGGTGGCGCTACGTGTCCATATATTTGAGCGTAGCTCTCTCTTGTTTCATTCTAGTTTCATCTTGAATAGTATAAACTCAAGAACTACTATGTCTTAGTATAAATGCAATAAATTTTTTTACATACCTTATTATATTAAGCAAAGCCTAATTGAATATGGAACATTTGATTGTCGTTGAATGTGGATTCCGATACCTCCCACTCTGGAAGGAAAAGGAATCAAAAATTGGATTTTGGTATTTCATATAGAGATGAAATTATGATATGAAATTTGTTTCGGAGATTTAAAATTTTTTCGTTCTAAACATTGAATACTAAAATTTGTTTTGGTCTCATGGGTAAATTATTTTCTCAGCTGCAGTCACTTCTGTTGCTCATAAGAGATTGGAAACCTGCAAATAGTAAACCCTATGGGTTCAGCGGTGGTAAATCATATCTTGATGGAGTATTGGCAGAAAAAAAAGGCAAGGCAAAGGAGCTCAATGAAGTGCGAAATTTTCTCCACGAAACATTTAAAGATCTCCAATGTTTCTTAATGCCGAATCCAGGACCAAAAGCTATAAAGAGTAATTTTGATGGAAGAAATGATGGTAAAAGCAACGGGGTTTTTCAAAAGCCTATATAAATCATTTGCATTGATGTTAAATGAAATTTGTGGATAAATTTCTGATATTTAGTGCACCACAGATATATATATATACAACTGATGGGATTTTGTTTAGTTTTGTCTATCTACAATCATTATCCAGAGAAATTATAACAAATATTGTACCTCAAGTAAATTGCATTAGTTTACTTCAAGCATGAATTCATTTAATTCCTATTTTGCAGAATTAGATGGTGACTTTTTAGATGAAGTTAAAATTTTCTGTGAAAGCATCCTTCATCCCGACAAACTGGTGATAAAAATGAGCGGGAACGAGCAGATGTCTGCCCGCAAACTTGCTTATACACTTGCTGCTTGTGATGAAATATTTTTAGGTGGTAAATTGCCACTAGTTGAAACACTTGTTGAGGTGAGTTTTCAAAAGAATCACCCCAGACCAGTGGTTCCCAATTTTCAGTGTGTTTTGAAATAACAACCCATTTGTGGTGTTAGCAGTGGCGGCGCATGGTCATTTTGACAACCGGGGCAAGCTACTGCGGGACTAAGTCACCCCCATCTACGGGGACAGGATGAGCGCTGTAAGTTCTCCCATCATTTTATGAGTATAAAAACCATTCCATCGGTAACAACCAATCGGCAAAAGCGACAATTTTTAACGATAAGCAAGTGTCTTTAAAACCGGTCCAAGTCAAGGGATTAATAAATATAGACATAGTTTATTTTGAAACCTCTTTCAAAAGGAAAGGCAATATTTACCCAGATAAATACAATGACATATTAACAGAAACTTCGGGAAAGCAGACAAAACCTAAAATAAGGTTTAAAACGTTACTATGAAGAAAGGAAAGGTAATGCAAAGATAAGGACATGCGTCGCTCACTCATAGATATATATGCTGCTAGACTTCTACTGCTTGAACATATATGCAACACGCCGCGGTTTCTTGGAAGCAAAATGCTCAATAACGCGCTGATTAAAGTCATGCATCCCAGAAATAACGTCTCTGTGAATGGATAAAACAGCCAAGGAATTTAATCTATCTTGCTTCATTGTGTTTCTGAGATACGTTTTAATACGCTTCAGCGTGCTGAATGTTCGCTCTGCGTCGGCGGAAGAAATAGGCGTCGTCAAAATGATGTCCAGAAATTTTGCAGACGCCGCAAAGGTAGTTACTAGAGTGTAATCTATGAGGAACCCATTGAGCGCGCAAGTTGATGTGATGTTCAAAAAAGTTTGATTGGTGTATATACATCGCAATTCATTTTCCAATTTACCCACGTTTATCATGGGGTGAAATTTGGAGACAGTAGCCAACAAATGGATGGGAAATTGACGTGCAAATTTTGAAAATTTTTTGGGGTTCATCAAAAAGAACGCGGCAAGGTGTTCAGTGCGCAGACGATCGCCTATTTGATTCACCAGAATGTCACAGCATTCCTTTGCAGACCAAATCAAACGCTGCGTTGTTTGCCCGCGGCGTAAAGAAGCACTCCATGTGTCGTCGTATTTTATTGTTTCCCGGATACGAGATACAGCATCGCAGAAGTCTGAAATACACGACTGCACAGACGCTCCATCCATTAGCCTTGACTGCAATGCGCCGTATAATACGTCCACGTGATAGAATATTGTGGAGAAAAAAGCGAGAAAAAATGAAAACTCACCATCTTCTACCAGACGCTTTAGACCTGCCGCCTCCCTCACAGAGCGTTCGTCCCAAACCGGAAAGCTCTGAATGCCATTGAAACACTCAATGAGCTCAGACCTAATTTCGGACACGCCCTGCACCACGCGTGATTGGAAGTTCCAACGTGTTGGTGCACAAGCTGGGAGACGGCGGCTACATATCTGGCGAAGGAGGTCAGAGCGCTTCGGCGAAACGGAAAAAAATGAAGAAAACCCCGAAACATTTGCAAAAAATATACGGACGAGAGGGGTATCAAGACACATATTTTTAATAACGAGGTTAAATTGGTGTGTATAACAATGTAAAAATGCGCATGAGAAAAATCTTCTTCTATATAAACTTGAACACCATGTTTCGACCCACTCATGACTGCCGCGCCGTCATAAGTTTGAGCTATCAATTTTGATTTCGCGTTGTAAGGCTGTAACACTTCTTTCAGTACAGCCGATATCCCGCAAGCCGTGCAATCAACGATTGGTACAAAGCTGTGAAATCTCTCGGTAGGTTTACCATCTTTCACATACCGAAAAATCACAGCCAGTTGGGAAACGCACGTGATGTCAGTTGTCTCGTCAGACTGAATCGAAAGGAACTGGCTATTCTCAATTTCCAGAGCCAAATGTTCTAAATAAATTTTATACATTGAGTCGATTAAATCATTTTGGATATCCTTAGATGTCCCTTTCGAAACAGTTGCGGCATCAAGATGATCTCTCAATACTGTAGCTAGGGATGCGGTGTATTCCACCATATCCAAAAATACCCCTCTATTAGAAGAGCCAGCCCGTTCATCGTGCCCACGGAGGGACAGCTCGTGACAACCAATGAACTTCAAAACATCTATCAATCGACCGAGAACATGGCGGTTTTTCTCGGCGTTTTGGTTGTGCCGACGAATAGAAACCGCGCGTCCTTCATCCAACTGTGCTGCAATATTAACATTTCCGAATGTTCGGTATTTTACTGCATTGTCCAGATGCTCCATAGAAGATTGATGATCCCTGGCACGCTCGGAAAGATGTTTAAGATCTCTAAAACCAAATTTACACCAACGTGAGTCACGGGCGGTGGAAAAAAGTAGGCAATAAAAACAAAAAAGTGCATTTTTGTCCTCGCTGTAACACAACCATTCGTGTTTTTTATACCAAGTTTCTGCGCAGAATGTACGCCGACGCTTTCCTCCGTCATGGGATTGTTTCAGTGAACAATTTTTTGGTTGATAAGGCCCAAGACGTTGTACCTCTAATTTTTGTTCCAGCGGCAGCTGCGAAAACGGAGTGCCAAGTAGTGCATCAACCTTATTCATTATGAGGTCTAAGGCTAAGAAATGCGAAGCCGGAAAATCGAAAGCAAATGAACTAAAGGTCTCTAACTGATTTAAATAGCGAAACAAGCGACAAAAACAAAGGCGAGCGCAAACTATCAACTCTTTAAGCAACGAACGAGAAGGAATGCGTGAATATGTCAACACGTTGTTGTAAGAAACGTCGGCATTGTGTCGTCATAATTTGGGGGCTAGCCCCGATGATTTGGTAAAAGAAACAGAAAACAAACGAGACAAACGCGGCGAGTGGAAGATAAAAGAGAGAATACGATATACAATGAGCAACCGGGGCAAAATCGGCGTCGCCCCGTCGACGTTCGGCGAAGGCTTTGCGAGCAAAAAATGAACCATGTCGGGAGAATATGGCTAGTGTAGACAGTCTGTGCAACCGATATTGAGGTATTTTTCGAATATTTTTTATTATACCGAAAAAACAGGCCCTATTGACGCGCCGCCACTGGACTTTTTACTAGGATGATTTTGTGCTTCGTAAAATATTTGAATCCATGACTGATACCACTATTTAAACTTTTGTTAACTAATCTTTTAGGAAGGGGAAATTGTGGTGTTAGTATTTCTTTACAGTGTAATTATTAGATAAACAATGTACTCTTGATTGCCCTAGCTCTGTCGTACTGCATACTTTACCGTTGCGTGTAATTCTATTGTTTACAGTGTTAAGTAATGGTAGTGGTGTTCTTATGTTTAATAAAGCCTAGAATCGGTATCCTGTTATCTTTCATAACAATTTATTAAACATAATTTGACGAACCAACCACAATGGATAAAGTTTAAAAGCCTGAGAAACTAGACACAGATCCTGATACACGTGACGCGGAATGCGAATGGCTGCATTGGCAAAAGACATTCGAAAATTTCTTGGAAGCTTTACCCACTGAAGGACTGGATAAATTGGGAGTATTAACAAACTATGTGTCTCCGAGAACTTATAGATATATTAGAAATATTACAACTTATGATGAAGCCATAGATACGTTGAAAGGGATTTTTGTGCAGCCAAAGAATGAAATATATGCACGTTATATGTTGCCCACGCGATCCCAACAAATTTCTGAGTCAGTTGCTGAATATTTAAGAGCATTGACAGAATTGAGCAAAGATTGTAACTTTCAGAACGTATCTGCTAAAGAATACCAGAATGAATATATTCGGGCCTCTTTTATACGTGGCTTGAATTCCAGTTGGATACGCCAACGACTGCTTGAGAATAAGAAATTGACACTGGACGAAATGGTTGATCAAGCCAAATCATTGGAAACTGCCGTTCGAAATTCACAATCTTGCTATAAACGAAAACACTTCCGTCGGAGCAGCATCTTCAACAATACAAGTGTCAAAAGAAAGGACATTTTGCAAAGGTCTGTCGCGGAAGAACTATTTCGAACAATGACTCCAGCAGTCGCCTTGACATTTCAGCAATGATACCACATTCAACATTGGCTACTATTTATGACAAACCTCATACTCATGTTGGATACGTTCCGTCTACATTACGACAAGCCACAGCCTTGGTAGAAGTCGGTCAACGAAAAGTACGAGCTTTGTTCGACAGTGGTAGTTCGGATAATTATATTCACCCAAGGCTGGTAAAATCTCTTAGGCTCAACGTTCGTCCGACAAAGAATGTCATTTCCATGGCATCGTCTAAATGTTCAGTAGAAGTTCTTGGATGTACTGAAATGGATTTATACTATAATAATCATAAATATTGCGGAGTTAAGTTTGGTGTAATCGACAGCTTATGCGCTGATATGATCCTCGGACTCAATTTCCAAACCCTGCATAAAAGTAAAAGATTTCACTACGGTGGTAAAAAACCTGAATTATCAATTTGTGGTTTCTCGTTATTGAAAATAACCCCACCTGAACCATTCAAGCATTTAACTGCGGACTGTCATCCAATCGCCACTAAATCGAGAAGATACTCAAATGAAGATAGATAATTAATACCAGACGAAGTAGCCAGACTTCAGCGAGAAGGAATTATCGAAACATGCCTTTCGCCATGGAGAGCTCAAGTCGTTGTGGTTAAGACAGAAATCGAAAGAAACGTTTGGCAATTGATTACTCGCAAACTATTAACAAGTTCACTTTATTGGACGCTTTTCCATTGCCAAACATTTCAGAGTTAGTGAATGAAATCGCACAGTATCGAGTTTTTGTACTGTTGATCTCACTAGCGCTTATCATCAAGTTCCACTGAAACACCAAGATAGAGAGTTTACCGCGTTTGAAGCCGAGGGAAATTTATACCAATTCACAAGGCTGCCTTTTGGAATCACAAACGGGGTCTCTTGTTTTCAGCGTATAATGAAGCATACAAACCAGGCAAAGACAATGTTGCACCAGACACTCTATCGAGGATTTCATGTGCTCTTCCTTCTACTAATATCCTCACTAAATTACATGATGCATTATGCCATCCAGGTATATCTAGATTCGCTCATTTTGTTAAGGTCCTTAATTTATCTTATTCAACTGAAGACGTTAAGCGAACTGTCTTGAATTGCCGTGTATGCAGAGAGATAAAACCTAAATACTATCGGCCTGAAGCAGGAACTCTTGTAAAAGCGACTCAGCCCTTTGAACGTTTAAGTATTGACTTCAAGGGACCTCTTCCGTCGAACAATCGCAACAAATATTTTCTCTGCGTAATTGACGAGTTTTCACGATTTCCCTTCGCTATTCCAACACCTGATTATTCGGCCGCCAGTGTAATAAAAAGTCTAACTCCATTGTTCGCTGTATTTGGAATGCCTGCTTACATACATACATTCGGCTTTCATGAGTTGTAAGTTTAAAAGATTTTTGCAAGAAAAGGGTGTGTCTCACAGTAGAACAACTCCTTACAATCCATCGACGAATGGTCAAGTAGAAAGGTGCAATGGTACAATTTGGAAAGGAATAAAACTTGCTTTAATGTCAAAAGGTTTGCCAATTGAATGTTGTCAAGATGTTCTATTAGATGTTTTGCATTCCATCAGATCACTATTGTGCACTGCAACAAATGCAACACCACATGAACGGTTGTTCAATTTTGCAAGAAGATCTACCACAGGATATGCCGTTCCAACGTGGCTGACAAATTCTAAAGTTGTTCTTCTCAGGTGACAGATTAGAAGAAACAAATCTGATCCATACGTTGATGAAGTGGAACTTTTAGATGCAAACAGACATTACGCTCATATTCGGTATTCAGATGGTAAAACCTCAACAGTATCAACAAAACATCTTGCACCGTGTGGTGATGGTACACCGTTTAGAAGTGAGAATAATGGAAGTTCCCCCGATAACCAACCTTCTCAATTACCTGTAAAGCAGGCTGATACAGCATATTCGGACTATGTACCAAAAATACCGCATCCCGTCATCAACCAGTCAGAAATTCAAGAAGGGGAAGAAAAGTCAAATATTCCTGGTCATGATGAAAAACGCGAAACATCCCCAATGAAGATGATAGACACCCCGGCTCCTAGGCGTTCTACTAGAGAAAAGCGTCCAATTGATCGTTCACATTACTAGGAGTGAAATGTTTATTAAACTTTTTGTTAACTAATCTTTTAGGAAGGGGAAATTGTGGTGTTATTATTTTTTTACAGTGTAATTATTAGATAAACAATGTACTCTTGATTGCCCTAGCTCTGTCGTACTGCATGCTTTACTGTTTGCGTGTTATTCTATTGTTTACAGTGTTAAGTTGTGGTAGTGGTGTTTTTATGTTTAATAAAGCCTAGAATCGGTATCCTGTTATCTTTCATAACACTATTTTCCAAAAAAAACTGTATCTGACCACATTTTCAATTTGAAAAAATGATCGAATCCGTTGATATTCAATGGTGGATTAGTGAAGACATTAAATAAAATTTTATTTTCGCAGACACTCGCAAAAGCACATTACGAATCTGCTTTTCAAGATTGCATTGATCTATATAAGGGAAAAATGAAGGTGAGAGCACTTTTTATTTGACTTTCGATGGAATGCCAATCGTTGTACAGCTTTAATATATAACATAATATACATGCATAGTTGAAGAATTATCAATAAATTTAATTGTTCGGGTTATATATTACCCTCTTTAAAATCATAAGAGTTCCAAAATATGTCCATTCATTTATTCTAGAATACCATGTAGTTGAGTCTAACAGTAACCATCTCTTATCAAATCTAAGTCTTCGAGGTTCAGGTTATATAATCCTGTGTTTTGATTACATTAGGTTCTACTAGATGGAAGTGGGATCCCAACAATTGACCAAGTTGAGAAAGTGCACGAGGAATCATTTAAAGAGGCGATTAAAAAGTACAAATTAGTTGAAAAAGTCGGATCAGAGAAATACAGAAAACAATTCAAAAAGTATTTAAAGGAACAGTGCAACTGGTGGAAGGTTGAAACGGTATAAAAACTAATTGTGTCTAATATTTCAGTTCATTCATATAAGTCAGCTGATAAATAAAATAGGATCTGTTATACGTAATTTGTAATATTATATTCCTTTCAAATTCCAGCTGATCGGCATGATTAGTTAGAATTCAACTTTTTGCCAAAGTTTTTTCTGACTGGGCACTGGCAACTAGACTCAACTAATTTAGAGTCACTGCACTAGGGTCTGTTAGAATGAAATAGACTTATAAACTAACTTTTTGGCCAAAAAGTGATTGTTGGAAGAATATTTATGTTTTAGAAAAAATCTTTTTACTCAAAAAAAAAACGATTAGAGTACAAACAAGAGAGCTATGCTCAAATATATGGACACGTAGAGTCACATAATTTTGATGACGTCATAGCGAAAAAAAAAAGTAATAGCCTTCTGGAGAAAATTTTTATCTTTAACCACTAAAAATTTCAAAGCAATTGGTCCGTTATTCGAAGAGAAAAGCGACTTTTTAAAAACGTGTTAAAGAACAACAAGAACAACAACAACATAATATTGAAACGATCGTTATGTCCACTACGTGTCCAATAAGTTGGTGAAATGTTGCGTTTCTAAAAAAAAGTCATCTAGTAAGAAAAAGCATCACATCACATTTTTCTTAGAAACTGGGAGATTCATACCTCAGTCCAAAAGAATTGGAGAATCTACATCATGAAGTTGCAGACCCACTGGTGGAAGATATTTCAGTGGAATTGCAAAACAGTGCTGCAATTTTGCACGATGCATTCATTGAAATGAAAAAAATAAATGAAGAGAATAAAAAGAAGAGGAATATAAAGATAGCAATGGGTGCAGGTGTAGGTGTCGCAGCGTGTGCAGGTGTAGTAGGTGTCGCAGCGTGTGCAGGTACCGCAGTGACTGTAGGTGTAATTGCAGGTGCTGTTCTGGGTGTAAGTTGCATAATAGCTGTAGAAGTTGCAATTGTTAAACGTGTGTGGGGTATGGTGATGTCCGCAACGTCAACGGAGGGATCAAAGATCAAATCAAGTGAAGGAAAAACAATGACTCAGTGAATTTTTTTTTATTGTGTTCAGCTCGTTTCCACATCCAGTTATAGCTGAGGGCCGAATTCAATTGCAATAATTACACTCATTTCAAAAGGTTTTGTTGGAAACTAAACAAAAAATATTCTAATTACATGTTAATAAATCTGAAAACAAGCACAACAGCACTTCAATGAACAATCCCAATGCTGTTTTTTGTTGCCCTGTGTTAATGAACTAGACCAGCATTTCTTAAACTGTGTTATGTAGAATAAAAAAGCGTAGGTGTTCCGCGACAAAAAAATTACAAACGATGTCCTAAACCTGGGCTCCTCAACTATTTTTAACAAAGATCCGCATACAAAACTTCAAAAATATTTGGGTCCAGTCTTTCCAGAAATTATATTTTGGCATTCTTAAACGCGTACTTCCTCGGCCGTACTTAGCTAAGATTGTTTATTATGATGTTATATTTGTTTTCATATATACAAAGGTACAAAAGTCATTTTATAAAAGAAAACTTCAAAAGTAGGGTTAATAATCCAAAATAAGGAATTAGGTGTGATCTGAATCAAATACTCGAAAGATCCGGATTCGGACCGCCAGTTGAGTAGCCCTGTCCTAGACAACAAAACGTATCAGAAAATGCGGAGAAGTACTTCCAAATGTTGCAGTTAAATGTTTTTAAATTCTCATTACTTTTCTTGATTTTTTCCACGTATATAGTTTTTTATAAAAAGTAATCATTGTTTGATGATTTTTTTGTTTATTTTCCCTATAACCTCCCAATAAGACGGGCAGTAAAATCGGAATCTCAAATTACCATGCAACGGCTTCTGAGCCGTCGAGGTGTTTGCGCATTTGTTAAAATGATCCATAATGATTTTTTTCTCGAAGCGTAATATTCAATCCATGAAAACTACGGGAATACAAACTGTCTTTCAATTTTAATCTAATTGTGCTGAGATCTGCTGTAAAATCCCGGAAATTACAATTCAATTAAGGGCAATAAATATACATATGAAGTGTATATATCAAACATACATATTCATCATCTCGAAATCTCCAAAAACGAAATGTGTTGCTTCATTAAGTTAATAGTGATCAATTAAATCTGCGATTGCCACAATATAAATAGTATTGTAGCGAGTACATAAGGATAGTTACTGTATGTTTCAATATTTTCACCGTATTGTTAATAGTGCATGGTATTTGCCTGAAAAACAAGGTCGTTCCTCCGATTCATTTCTATTGTGATATATTTTCCCTCGCTCAGTGTTTATCGTTCTTTGTAAGTTAGAAATTTGGTTTCATCACGTATACATGCGTTAAAGTTTTAAGTGTAATTCTGTATTTTGATTGTACAACTTTACAACATACGAACATTTGGCATTCAATACACTGTGTGCTTTATTCACCTCTGAAGGATTTCAGAAAGCGCCGGATCAACCATTAAACAATATAAGCACGTGCTTAGGGCATCAAGCAAAGAGGGGCACCACAGAAATTTTATAGCAGAATTTGAACCATTGAAGTATGCGCACCAGGATGGCGCACAACCTGAAATCAGGCTGTGTACCAGGTTAGGGTTCAGGTTATGCGACATCTTGGTGCGCATACTTCAGGAGTACCAAGAATTTTTATATAGTTTATCGGTGTTTATTAAAATATTACGAGTTCACCAGACGACTCAAAGTTTGCTTTTTTTCGTTTTCAAGTATAATATTACCTATCAAAACACTGAAAAAACACTGAAACTTATTTATTGGACACGAAATGAGCCTATGAGTCGTTTTCTTAAATTGTTGTGTTTTCTTTCTAGTATTCTTTAGTTTATTCTTCAGAGTTTTTTTATCTATTCCAACTGGGGTTGGGATCCCTAGATTTAAACCTATTTTTCTAAGATTTTGTGCCTTTATTTTAGTAAAAACACTCCTCTGTTTTCAAGCGTGGGCCATGTGACAGAAGTGACGAAACGCAGAGCCGACTTAACGCCGCGCAATCCAGTATTTTTTAGCACTCTTGTACCACGTGTCCCACTTCTCCGGAACACGTGGACTGGAACACGACATTTTAGAGACGCCGGCGTCTGGGGATACGTGGGGCACAACATTTTAGAGACACCTGCGTCTGGGAACAAGTGGGACACGACATTTTGGAGACACGGGCGTCTGGGGACAAGTGGGACTTATGGAACACCTGAGACTTATGGGACAAGTAGGACACGACATTTTGGAGACACGGGCGTCGTGGGACTTATGGGACACCTGAGACTTATGGGATGATTGGAACAAGTAGGACACGACATTTTGGAGACATCGCCCGGAAACGTATTTTCTTGCCCACCACGCTGTGTCTGGTTTGCATTCAAGTAATATCTGCCACGAATAAATATAATTTGAAGCGACATTAAACGCAAGATGCGGAAAATACAACAGTAATTGTCGGGAATTTATTTTAAAATAACTGGAGGCTTTATATATCTTCTTTAGAAGTACGCCACCCATGCAACATATTAATAGTCTGATTAAAACAATAAACTCTCGTTATTTATTAAATTTAAAATATGTAATCTCGCGATATTTCGATCATTTTGGGGTTTTCTCGAGACCTCCTCAAAAGTTTTTGCGGTCCTTCAACCTAGCAACCTTGAACCACCCTGAGGTAGATTACTAGGTCTCCGTTTATGTACTTGCAAACTTTTATTATTCTTTTTAATTTCGCTTTGGTCCGGCTCAAATAGCCAAGGAAATACCAATTTTAGTAACATTGTTCGGGTCAATGTCAAATAAACATTAAATGAAAAACACATGAAGACTGTTTTAATTAATACATTTTTTAGCTTGTATACAATTTTTATTTCATTGTTTTATATTGTTCCTTCCTGCAAGTTACAAAATAAATGATGACGGTTGTCTATGTCCTTTATTAAAACTTTTCATAGTTGGCAACCCTAGTTACACACACAGACACAACTACTAACATAATTATACTGTTATAACGTTAGCACTATAATATTCACCCAAACACTATAAGTACTAATTCCCTTTTTCTAAAGTATTTTACTTTTCTTTAGAATTGCATTTGTATTATAGAGGCTATTTATTTACGTCACTCGTCAGCATGACTAATCGATGTTGTGTTCCACAAAGTCAGATCAGTGCAATTTATCATGATTGGACTAATGTTACATCGGGAATCCTGAAGAATATTGATGTAAAACAAACAACTTTATCAAATATTCTGCACATTATTGAACACGTCAGTGTACATAACGATCGTTTCAATATTATGTTGTTGTTCTTGTTATTCTTCTACTTTGTCGCTTTTCTCTTCGAATACTGGACCAATTGCTTTTAAATTTTCAGTGGTCAAAGATTGATTTTGCCAGAAGGCTATTATTTTTACTTAATTCAAAAATTTCTAAGATTCGTTTTTTATGTGTCAGAATAAAAAATAGCGACACCTTGTGACGTGTTCATATATTTGAGCATAGCTCTCTTGTTTATACATCGATCATTTGTGAGGTGGTAACTAGCAGCAGCAATTCCAGTTCGACAACAAGTCGACATTTTAGAGTGTCTTTTTTGAGATGAAATACAAAAAAATTTAAACTAGGCTAGGGCCTCCACAGCTTAGATTGCTTGCTTTAAGGCAGGGGTCACCAAACTTTTTTGACCTCGGGCCGGGTATGACTCAAATTGTGTTGAAACGGGCCGGATGAATATTTTTGTCAATGCAATACAATAAATTCACAAATGTTGGGAATATCGCAGAATATAGATCGAGAACATCCTAGGAAAAACATGAACAAGATTTCTATATCTAGACAACTATCCTGAGTTTAGCTGTTATCAAAACGTTGGTGTCATGAATTAGAAATGTTACAAAATCCGCGGCAAAAAATGTACGCATCACGTCTGCTAAGTACCGTTACGCCGTGTTGAAATACCGCTCATAAAAACGGCTGCCTGCTGTAGCTTGGAATTCTATGAAATTTTGACATAATTTAGATAGAATAAACAACTATTATCTGGTATTTGATTTTTTTCATTAGCGCATAAATTTCCGAACATTCGACGCTTTTAAAAATTACGCTCCAGTTATACGTAGAGCAAATTAATGATATTGTCTATGGACACCAATAAAATTTATGTGGATGTGTGTATTTCTTTTCTAACTTGATACAATTTTCATGAAGTTTGTACAATCAGAACATCGTTAATTATTACCCACAATGAACCACTGTCCAAATATCATGCACAACTCCAGAGTTTATTTGGGACGATCTTTCGGCGGTGTCAATGACCGTTGCCAGAATAAAATCCTGAAATAGTCTCAATATACCATGGATGTGACGCACATCGAAAGATTAGTGATTGATATGTGTTCTTTTTCCATATTTAGTTCAGTTCTTATCAAAAAAGTAATACAATCATTATGGAAAAAATTGGCCTGTCGGGCGGTACTAAAATTCCGATATCTCCGTTATTTCTTGACCGTTTATTATAAACTTGGTATTGTTTTACTTGGCGCAGTTTTTATTTAAATCGGATGAACTTCAATTTTTTTGTAACATACCTATACATGAATACCCGCATTTAAGCAGTACAAAAGTTAGTAGTGTAGCTTTTGAAATTGGAGCCGTACGCGAGGGATTACAGTACTCTTAGCACAAAATGCACAATCGACGTTTATTTTAGCACAAAAAACAAACAGTTTCGTCGGAAGCACGCGCCACGAGTGTACAAGTGTATCACAGAAAACTATAGTGGTGGTAGCATAAAAGTCATATTGGGGATGGCAGAATAGGGATGGCGAAATACGGTCGAAAGGTGGCAGATTAGGGATGGCGAAATAGGGACGAAAAGTCAAATTGGGGATGGCGAAATGCGGTCGAAGCCTGGCAGATTAGGGATTGCAAAATGCGGTCGAATGGTGGCAGATTAGGGATGGCAAAATGCGGTCGAAGCGTGGTGGCAGATTAGGGATGGCAAAATGCGGTCGAAGCGTGGTGGCAGATTGGGGAT